AATATAATTTACCTAAACAGTAGTCTTCCAAACTTTAGAACCAAAGACAGGACTTGTTCCAGTCCTCACAACAAATATAAACAATGAAAGGATCTACAGTGGGAAAAAAATAGAACTCATAGTGTAGTATCATAAATACACCATATAGTGGTATTTAAAGTTGCACTCACAAATGGGTATTGATTGAAGGCACATCAATTATTAAAGTTGTCAAAAGGTCTTCCACGCCTATATGGGCATGTAAGAGAGGATAAAAACAAATAATAAGTTCAGACCGTTTTTAACCTGGTTATGCGCTTTAGTTAATAACACTTCCAAGATCGTAGTGATATATGTGCATATCAGATTCCAGGATATTATAATTATCAGCAGCAGTCGTCCGCAGGTTATCCCAATGAAGAGAAGGAAAACCACTTCTTCAATTAGCAGTCAGATTTATTAAGTAAAAATTAAACAAATTGAGATAAAAAATTTTAATGTAATAGAATTTGTGTAATGCATATATAAATTGGCCACTTGGTTGCAAGGTCAGATGACAGAAGGGGTAATGTAAATTGCATAGGAATGTGAAAGGGGATGGTTAACATGGATTGATCCAATGATTAATCAAAAGCTCAGCAGGGTGTGAGATTCTACACTTGCGATGCATGGATGTCTGGTCCCACTGTAAACTAGCTGGCTTCAGCCATATGGCCTGTACCTTTTAATTGATGTATTGATTTCTTTGATATGTTAATGATCATTAGCTTTCAAGAAAGAAAATTAAAAAACAAGCCTTGTGTTCCAGTATCATATCCAAAAAAAAAACATTAATACTTACTCACAAAATAATAATTAAACCTCAATTTTGTTATATTTGGAATGGCACGAGCACAATCTTCTAATTAAGTCCAAACATGATTTGCATTATTTGACCATAGGGAAAGGGATTATGATGTCCGCGATATTGGGTCGCAAGTAAGAAATATGACATACCTATGGATTGGAAAAAGGGTAACAAACTCATAGATGCAATTATTATTTATTTGGCAAGTACATAAGAGGAGATATAACAAAATGTTTCCATTTGGATTGATGCTGGAACACAAGGCCACTTATAGTTACTATAGGTATGCCTCATCTCCACCTCTGGATGAGGATTGGTAACCCACAGGGTATATATCCAATGATACTGAGATGTGTATGCGTACTTGCTTGGGGGCCAGAATCTAATTCTAAGTGAGTCACCACCTTTCTTACCAGAGACCCCCTAGGCAGAGGTTTTCTGATAAACTGCAATGGTTCCATTGCAGGACTATGACTGACTCTAATGACTGTCCATCTTGTCTGCTTGTTAAGCCACTTCTGGTCATCTGACACCGGAGGTCCTCACGCTCTGCATGAGGACATCTAGCGTCAGTATAATCCACATAGGAAAGCATTGGAGTGAAATGGAGGGGAGCACAGGGAACTATAGTGTAAGGAATACAGATTTGTTTCCTTATACTATTGAATCCCTTTAATGTCAGTATTTGTCATTTCTCACAATATTTATATTACATGAGTCAAGCTATGTACTAAGTTTAAATGTTAGCTATGTGTCTGTCACTTACTTTTTACTACGACTCTATGCGAGGCCATGTTGGCCTCTTATGTGTCATATGTTAGTGATGTGCACTGTTTTTTGCATTATAATATTGAGAAAGGTATAGTGCTCTTCCATATGCTATTTTATTATATCTCATACTGTCCTATGCAATGGTGTTACTCTGTATGTTGAGCTTTTATAACACTCTGTGATTTATCTATTGTTCCTTTTGCAAATTAACATATTGAACACAAATCCATCTGCAGATTAGTAATATCCTGCTCGCACTGTATTACCTTATTTGGTTTTGTGTTACCTGTAAACAGTGACCTATGACTTTCAATGATATTATGATTACAAAATGACTGATGATAACTAATTGGACCCAGAGCAAACCCTTGAAGGACTCCACTTATTACTTTTGGCTAACTTGAAAAATTGCCATTAAAAACTACTTTCTGCACTGTATCATTAAACCACTATGCACATTTCCTTTAGTTTCTCATAGTAATTTTAGTATATGGCCTGAGAGGAGGCTGCCTACTTAATTTAATAAGTGATGCTTAATGTTACATATGATAACACATTAATTCCTGCTTCTTACATATACTACTGTAGATCTCAAAGAGTTAATAGATGGATATATAAATTTTCACAGAGAAATAAGGTATGGGTCAACACTCTGTGACAGTTAATTGTTAAACCAATGGTAAAATGTTAAAATCCTTAGAATCCGAGGTATTTAATGCACACTCTACGATACCCAAAAATGTCTCATAACCCCATACTTGATCTTTTCAAACATTGTTTCTCATCCATTAGTAACTTAATGTTCACGTTTTTCTCGATGTGTACAGTGCGACCTATTTTTAGCTTGTTTTGATTAGAATGTCTCAACAGGTCACCCTTTAACACGTTGACAAAGATATGTACAAGGCAAGAGTTTCATAAAAAGAATACACATTACTCTTGATTTTCAAGTGCAGTGTGCTTGCTGCATGGATGAGTTTACAAAGAGATTAGAGAATAGTTTACTGTAGAACCTGCAAGATTATTTTTGAAATATATCGGAAAAAGACCTGCTAGGTGCATTAACACAGGAGTCAGTCAAACATAGGGAAAAATACTAACTAATATTAGCTCAAAATGAAATGTTTTACATAGTGATAAGTCTACTAAAGCTAAAAAATAAAAACAATTGGATACATTACCGCCTTAAAACAGATTTACATAAATTTGCAAAGTTTATGTCATACAATCAGAATCGTGTGCAAGTACTAACCATAGATACAGTTAGAGAACATAAACATCAGATGTGAAACACATTTTTAAAGCTGAGATTTACTGCCCCACTGATTTAAAGGAACACTACAATGTTAGGAATACTAAATTGTATTCCTAACACTAGTGTCCCTCTGCCCCCCCCCCACAACAGCAAAAAAAAAATTGAAAATCCTTTTTACCCTTAGTTAATTCTAGTACCGAGATAAAGTACAACCACTAAGTAAATCAACAATCAATATTAAAAACTAAAAAAATGTCAGGAAATAACCGCATGAGTCCCTCATTTATTCCTCTATCACTTTAAAAGCTGACTGTATCATTAAAATAATTTTAAAAAATGTATTTACCTCTTAATTTAATATTTTTGGAAAACATTTAAAATAATTAATATTATGCAAATATGTTAATATTTTAATATTTTGATTCTATATATTTTTATATAAGATATATTTTTTACATTTTAACATTTAAAAAAAGTTATCTAAAGTTTATCCAAAAATTTAACATCATTTAAAAAGCTTATCCAATAACATTAAACTGAGGCTATAGTAATTTCCAATATAAGTTAGTGAGTGACTTACCCATGGAATACAGCTGTTAGTGGCATGGTGTTTATTAATGTGTCTGCATTGAAGTAATTCATCAATTTAGCTATAGTTACATACACAATTTCTTTAGACTCAATTTTGCAATTCGGTTTTCATTTTACCACATTTCTCTGTATAAAAAAGATTAGGTGTACACTCAGTATTGGAAATTAATGATAAAAACCACCACTGGTGTGCATATGGAGCGCTTACAAATTTGTTGACTGACCCATATGGGTTAACATACATATGTATGGAAAACGTGACTCATAGCGATATATCTGAAACAAATGTAAATGCAAGAAATAGTGCAGATAACGTTTTCAATTAGTGCAGTGAGGGAATATTCTATATGGTCTCACTCACATGTAGCAGAGCCCTATAGGATAGGCTCAGATCTCAATGGCCTGCGTGTGCTTATGGTGACACAGTACCCAATCGGTCCTCTAGGCGTCTGGAGATCCTTATGCATACATATGAGAGAGAGAGAGAACAAGGGGAAGAGGAGAACCCCTAGTGCGGTCAATCCCAATGTACAATGTCAAATAGTGCAGAAAAAGTGGCTTCTCACCTGATGTGGAGCCCTATACCTGGCTCCTGGTGTGTAGGTGTCTGTGCCTTTAAGGGGGCAACTACCCTTCTTTAAGCAGCAACAATGGAGGGTGGATTCCAAATATAAAACAAAATTTATTAAATAAAGTAATAAAAACTTACAAGTAAAATATAAACAAAATTGTGAGAAATTATAAAATGTGGAATCTTCAATCCTCCAGCCGAAACATGTTTCACTGTACCCAGACAGCTTTTTTCAATCGGTAGTATAGTTGCTGCTGTTACTTGTTTAAATACTTTGTACTTCCTCCTGTGTGGTCCTTCAAACTTCCCTCCCTCCAATCCGCTGGCGTCCTTTTTCATGAACAGCTGTACTGTGTTAGTAATGAGAATGCTCCGGTCTCGGAACAAGTCATGTGACCCGAAGCATCACGTGCCGCATCACAAATTGGGCGTGTATTCAATGTAGGGCTCACAGTTCCATATCGTCCATTTTGAAGTTGGGCAAAATGCCCTTCCTTCAACCAAGTCCGTTCCTATTTACAAGCCAGATGCTCAATTTGAGCGATATATAAACGAAAAAATGAAGGGAGAAAGGGGGATAGTATTATTGTATATTACTTACAAGTTAATTCATAAAATTTACATATCAAAAAATAAAAACATCTAGTGTTTTTCATTCAAAGTGACAGTACATGCATAAAGACAGGTGGTGAATATGCCACAAGAGATGAGAGATGTGAGGATAGATATAAAATCAAACAGTATTATCACAATGAGGGAAGCCCAAGCAGACCTAACAGATTACTAAAACAGACTACGACACCAATATGTAGAAAACCAACACCAAAATGGAGACATCTATCTAGAGGAGATAAAAGAGGAACACCAAATAGAAACCTTAGGGAAGATAAGAGATCACCAAAACCAGTGGGAATACCCACACGTAGAGAACAGTTCCCCACGAGGTATGGAAATGTATCTAGGGATACAAAAGGGACACCAGATAGGCACTCTAGGGAGATAAAAAGATCACCAGAACCAGTGGTAAGGAGGAAAATACAGACTAGTAGGAGCGATCAGCATCCGGTAGAAAGAATACCAAGGGGGATAAATAATAGAACTGATTGGGATGAAAGGAAAAAAATTCCTACTTATAACAGATTTAATGCCCTCAACACTCAACACAAAGAGGAGGATTTTTGTGGAGACTACATGAAGGGCAGGTACAAGGACAACAGACTAGGCTGGGGAACCCCAGGAAAAAGAGGACGGAGTATAGAGGACGGGGAACTAGAGGAGGAATTCTTTTACAAAAAAGGAAAAAAAGTCAGAGAATAAAGGGAAAAGGTATTTTTAATTTATCATCAAAAACACTTACTAATCCCCAAATAAATCTACTTGAGAAGGGACTTAAATTTGCGCCCACTAAAGCACTTGATAAGTTCAGTATCTATGTAGATCTTAACAGATTCAAAAGGAAAATGTGTTTGAAAAAATTCTTCCTAAAAAATCCAATCACTAGGCCAGAAGTACCCATAGAAAGGTCGGAGGCTGTGCACACTGAACTTAAAGCAAAATCTTCATTCTATCATAGGTTCTGTATCTCAGAAGAGATGTCAACCTTTGAAAAGATGGTGATGAAGGATATAGAAAAGATTAAAAAACCAAATCAAAAACAATTCAACCTTAATTATGGGGAAAGACAGGCATTGAAGGAATTAAGGCAGGACGATTCATTGGTAATTAAACCAGCAGATAAGGGTGGGGGTATAGTCATTTTGGACAGCGAAGACTATGTAAAAGAAGCCCTTAGACTCTTAGGAGACGACAAGACATATAGAATCTTGATGAAAGATCCAACTAGCGATATAAAAATCACATATGACACTCTCATAGAGGAGGGAAAAGAACGGAACATTCTAAATGAAAAAGAGTATGCATTTCTAAACATGACACAACCTATAATACCGGTCTTTTACCACCTCCCCAAAATCCATAAAGATAGGATAAAACCTCCAGGGAGACCTATTGTATCTGGGATTGGGTCAATTTCCAGTAGACTATCCCAGTACGTAGATAGGTGTCTCCAACCAGTGGTTACCAAATGTCCTAGTTACCTGAAGGACACCTCTAATATCCTCCAAGTTTTAACAGATCACAAGTGGAAGGAAAATAGTTTTTTGGTGACAGCTGACGTTAGTTCGCTGTACACCATTATTTCTCACGATAAAGGGTGTCAAGCGACAGAACATTTTTTACAGCAGTCAGGAACATTTCCAAGTGGACAAATTGATTTTTTAGTTAAAAGTATCAGATGGATACTGAATAACAATTATTTTTGGTTTAACGATCTTTTCTACTTACAGATATGTGGAAATGCGATGGGCACGAGGTTCGCGCCAAGCTATGCAAATTTATTCATGGCTTTGTGGGAACAAGAATGTATTTACCAAGATGGTAGTTGGAGCGCGAACCTCGTTGCCTATCGCCGTTACATAGACGACATATTTTTCATTTGGCAAGGGGATGAGACATCCCTGATATCTTTTTTGGACCATCTGAATAATAACGATTGGGGAATTAAATTAGTCTGAATTATAGCAAGATTCTAGTGGAATTTCTGGACCTCCAAATTTATGTTGAGGATGCATGTTTGAAGACATGTACTTTTTTCAAACCTGTGGATGTTAACAGCTACATTGGGGAGAATAGCTGCCATTTCTCCCGCATGGTTGCTGAATGCACCCAAAGCGCAACTGCTCAGGATAAGGAGGAATTGCACGGAGGAATGTAAATTCCAAGAACAATCCCACAAAATTCAGAAAGATTTTAGAGAGAAGGGATATAACGAGACATTGTTGGGAAAAGCCCTTGAAGAAGTCAAAATAAAGGACAGAAAAGATCTAATTAAATATAACACTAAAAATAAAGTTGAACCACAAACAATAGGACTTATATGTGACTTTAACTGTAAAAGTAAAGAATTTAGAAAAATAGTCTCAAAGTATTGGCCAATTTTAAGAAATGACCCTCTCCTTAATAGTATTCTTCCTGAGAAGCCTAAGATTGTTTATAGAGGAGTAAAGAATTTAAGAAACACTTTAACATCTAACCATATACCCCTAAAAAGATGTAATAGGGACTTTTTCAACGAAACAAAAGGGTTTTATGGTTGTGGACACTGTGGTGCGTGCAAGAACTCAAAAAGTAAGAAAAGACTAGTAAAAGAATTCTCACACCCTCAAAATAAAAAAGTCATGTTTAAGATCAACGAGCTAATTACTTGTCAGTCCACAAGAGTTATTTATCTCTTGATATGCCCATGTGGATTTGTATATGTAGGGCGCACCAAAAGAAAGTTGCACATTAGAGTACAAGAACACATTAGGAATATTAGGAACAACTATGAAAAGCACAGTGTCTCCTTACATTTTAAAAATAAACATAATAGCGATCCCACCCTGTTAGAATTCCATGCAATTCAGAGGGTATCACCCGACTGGAGAGGGGGAGATTTTATTAAAAAATTAGGCCAAAGGGAGATGCAATGGATTTTTAACCTGAATACCATGCAGCCTAATGGTCTCAATGATGATTTTGAGTTATGCCATTTTTTTACTTAAATTATTTTTTTATTAGTATGTTTCATACATTTTAAATATTTACTCTATGGCCATACCAGTCTAAAAATGCCTGATCTTGTCAGATCTCAGAAGTCATCCAGGCTTAGGCCTGGTTAGTACTTGTATGAGAGACCAGCTAGGAACCTACTAAATATTTATATGCTTTTTTATTTATATATTTTAATATTGATATCATCATTGAAGATAAGCTGCTGACACAATGGAGACCTGTTCAATAATAATCAGCATTTCTCCTAAAAGAGCATACTCCTATTCACCACCTGTCTTTATGCATGTACTGTCACTTTGAATGAAAAACATTAGATGTTTTTATTTTTTTTGATATGTAAATTTTATGAATTAACTTGTAAGCAATATACAATAATACTATCCCCCTTTCTCCCTTCATTTTTCCGTTTATATATCGCTCAAATTGAGCACCTGGCTTGTAAATAGGAACGGACTTGGTTGAAGGAAGGGCATTTTGCCCAACTTAAAAATGGACGATATGGAACTGTGAGCCCTACATTGAAAACACGCCCAATTTGTGATGCGGCACGTGATGCTTCGGGTCACATGACTTGTTCCGAGACCGGAGCATTCTCATTACTAACACAGCACAGCTGTTCATGAAAAAGGACGCCAGCGGATTGGAGGGAGGGAAGTTTGAAGGACCACACAGGAGGAAGTACAAAGTATTTAAACAAGTAACAGCAGCAACTATATTAACGATTGAAAAAGCTG